TAACAAGAAAAGGGGAAGTAATCAGAAAATAATCCTATTAGTACCCCTCCCTTAACAAGATCATCTACCAGCTCTCTCTCCTTTGCTTTTTAATAGACTGAAATGGTTAACACTACACTACATCAGATGTCAGACCAGACTAACTGAAGCAAGCATCTTAAAAGCAAGTGATTAAAGCTTAAACCAACCAGGACTGAAGAAGCTTCCCCTGAAGCACCCCGAACAGTCAGCAAGCATCTCCCTCCTCAGCTGATGTGGGTCTAATCTCCTGGGCTGCCCTGCGCTACCGTTACCTAGTCAGCAAACAAGAGAACAAAGCAGCACGCTTTGAAGGGCAACCGAAGTCTGGGCTACTGACTCATGCACTCGTGACTTCTACAGGTAATTACTGTAAGCCATATCTATAATGAAGCCACATGCCAAGAAAGAATTCCAGTGGGTAAGAGACATGGCCAACGCATCACGGCAGAGTCTGTCCTCCAGATCCTCTCCTAAAGCCTCCCATGGCTACTTCGGGTTCTTAAACGCAAGTTTTGGCACTTTAATTAAAGTAATTATCCAAGAACTACCTCACCAACCAAGCACAGAAACATAACCCACAATATCTAGACAGCTCACAGGGTTACAAGGCCCTTTCAGCCACGGACCACACCACAAATTTGTAAGTTCCCGGACTCAGAACTTAAAACCTGAAAACCCCACAGGCCACCCTACACTAATAAGGGGAAGCAAAGCAGCCGTTTACCATATGGGGAAAATCCTTCCCACGCTCCAGGACAGGCAACTAGCTCAGCTAGCATTCCCAAAAGCAGTTGCAGCACACTCGTCATGCGCAAAAATAAAGGAAAAAACAAAGCAAAAAATAGGCATACTATCTTAATTCCTTCACTCAGTCCCCTCTTCTTCAAACTACTTAATTTGCTTTCTGTACGCAGACACCAAGATCCTCCCGCCCAGCCATCAGATGATATCCCAGCTGCTTTAAACTGTATCCTGCATGGAACAAACTTCTTTGGCTTCTCTTTCCACTCTTTGTATTTTTAACCCAACCAATTCTTTTTCTTGTTTCATTACCCTCCGACCAAAAAAAATGCCTTACAGATAATGAGGGGAGAAGTCTGATTTGTAAATCTTTCTTGAGATTTCAGATAGTAGTAATCTTGCCAGAGAAAGCAGTAAATTTCTGAGACTGAGGCAATACTTACAGACAACAATAGCTGTAATCCCATGCTCTGTACACAAGAACTAACAGGAATACAAAGAAACACTGAGGTCATGAGCATTGAGCTTTCCCATCATACAAACATCATGATATATTTATCAACTTTTATGATAAATGTATTTAAAGTCCTTTCTGTCCTACTGAAAGATTACTTCAAAATCTGACATCCAAGGAGTGGGAAACCTAGTCTCCAGCCTGATTACTGCCTAAATGTAAGCAGGATGATTTTCACACTTTTTTGTTCTGGTGCCAACATTGTTTTTAGCTTAAATAGTTTAAATAGTCATTCTTGCTTTCTGTATTAGTGGGAATTAATATCAGCTGTAAAACCCACCACACACACAACACAAGCTTGCAAATGCTACAAACCAATTACTGCAATTAGAAAGAGATGTTCTTGTTAGATTCAGTTAATTTACAACTGTTGACCCTTTTTTCCTATATTCTTCATTTCCCTCGTAGTTAATGCAGGTATGTGATTAGGCAGTCTACCAAATCAGCTTGATCCTAATCCTGAACTACACCCATGGTTTTCTTTCCCCCTCCTTAGTCAAACACTAATGGAGAAAGGGTTAGAAAATAAGGTGTTTTGCTTATTACAAGACTGGACATAGACCTGCCTACACAAACAGGCACCTGCTCAAAAATAACTACAAATGAAGTGATTACTTAGGTGTGTCAAGGAAGTAGCCTAGTTTTATACACTGGAATAAAGACTGAGACCTGATAGTACATGCAAATCTAATCCCAGAGGAGGGGCGTGCATTCAATATAATGTTGAAATCAGAATCAACACTTGGTTTGAGAAACACTTTGCCAAGGGGAAAAGGTATAGTCCAAGACTTTGCACCCAGCCAGCAGAGAAATGACAATCTGGGCTCCGTCAATCGGCGTTATCGGGATGTAACTCGGGGCAAGTTCACCCGGAATTTGGAAACCCCTCTGAGACAGAGCTCCACGCACGCTCGGGAACCTGGCTCAGAGATAGTTATTTAGGGATACAGAATGTTCCTAAAAACGATACCGTGATACTGTAGAAGAGTTTTGATTACAAACTGTTTGCGCATTATGCAATAAAAACGGTTTCCTACAGCAATGCTTTTTGGAAGAAACGGGCTACACCTACGTTAGCAAGAGCTGCGGCACAGCTGCAGTGGACCCCTAAAGCAAAACGGGTGTTGCTGAGAACGCCGCCTCTGTGCTCTGCATCATCTCCTCCCAAGTAACTCCAGTCTGGACCCACGAACGCCCATGAAGCAGCCGTAATGCACGAGTCCTTCCTTCTCCAAACAGCGATCTTCCCACTTTTGCCCCATCTGCTTCAGAATTATTTTTTTTCCCCAGCCTCTAATTCTTATTTCGTGTCCGTGTCCCCTCTCACCCAGCACTCAGCTGACCAGTGGTCTCCCACTGAGGAAGGGGAGAGGCGTGTGCCCGGCTTCCCAGGCCCTTGGGGAGGGAGCCCTCCGGTCCTGCTCACCCCCATGGGCCGCAGGGGCACACCCACCCCAACAAAGCTAATCCCCTGGAAAACGCAGGCTCGAACCACAACTGGAAAGCCAGGCAATACACGGGGGGTTAACCAGGTTCTGCAGCTAGACTCTCAGACCTCTGATTCAAACTGAGCGCCATGTAGGCCAACATATTTTAGAAACTGTAAAATAATTATTTATGTCCTGTTTGCCAACACGTAAACAAGCACTAGGATAAAAGTAAACTGTTGCTTAAAAGAGCTACTTGAAAATGCAAGCCCTTGTTTTGAAACCATCCAGATATTTACATGAGGAAGTAGAAAGTAACAATTGCAAGCTGACTGTGGAAAAAGCACATTTCTTTAAATATTTGCTAAAGCTTGCAGATACTTGTGTGGAGACAAAGTAGCAGAAAAGAACCTGTAGGAGCTTTAATTTGGGAAATTGGTTTGTATTAGTGGCCTTTGAACCTACCACATCCACCCAGCTTCCGGCATTTCCCTTAGTCACAGATCACCAGGTAGAAATGGATCTCTGGAGAAAATATTGCATTATGTAGTAAGGGCCTAGCTCACAAAGTTATTATTACCATACTCCTGTGCATGCATACATGTGCACACACATAATTAAGCAAAATAAAGTGTATATCCGTATATATATATATACAACCAAAGTAAGACTATAAATTAGATGTAAGGTGTGTGTATAATTTTTCATGCACGTGTGCCTACTCAAAACTTTCATCCAAAGTTAGACTAAATAAAATTGGTACGTGTCTAACGCTACAATTAATAATGCTCTGCTCATTGCTATTGTAGAAGAGCCAATACTGGATTTTGCCTTTGCTATTAATGCTTAAAGATCTGGAAATATCAGACCGAGTCTTTACTAGCTAGCTGTTCAGCCACTGCTCACCACTAAACATGTCTGAACCGTACCTATGAATAAGTAAGGCAAAGATAAGGTCTGATTAACGTCAATTAAAAATACACCACACTCCTAACAGCTGCATCTCCCAGCCTGCTCCTTATTCATGGTCAGGAGATTATCTTTCAAAGGGACTTCAGAGTCTTCAGGCCAATGTCAGTTGGCCAACCTCTCATGCAGGGAACCTTCCTGGGTGGAAACCCCGTGACAGGAGAGCAGTCATGGTTCAAAGAGAGCTTCAGGCCAGAAGCAGACTGCAAACACAGAGTGAAAATAAGACATACGGAGAAGTCCAGCCACGACCCACTAGAAGACAAACGCAGGAGTCTGCAGCAGTAACAGGTTCGGGTGCCCGTGGTGCTCCAAGCCTTGCAGGGAAAGCAGCCCTCGCCCCCGCAGCTGCCCAGCACGGGCGGGGGGTCCCTCAGTGCCGTGCCCCCCGCGAGAGCCTGTCCGGGCAGCAGAGAGAGGAAAAGGGCAACTACACCCGAGCAGAGACGGGAGAGCCCCCGCTCCCGAGCAGCGGGTGGAAGGGAGCTCACTTTCAGCGCGCCTTTACTACCAGTAAACACCAGGCTCAGCTCAGCAGGTAGTAAATCCGGCTGGTTTAAACTCAAGGCCTCCACACACACATTTGTATCTTTTCCTGTAGTAATGGGCTTACAGACATTTCCTGAAGTGATTGGCTAGAAGAGATAAGAGCTCAAAAAAGTTTAGGACTTAACTTGTTACACCGACCCACTCTCACCCAGATGCGGTCCCACAAGTATGTTCAGTGTGAGTGAGGAATAACCGTTCTTATTTACCAAAGTTCAGTGTAACTATGCTATTCTTTGCCCAGAATTCACTTTTTTTTTTTTTTTTTTTCCCCCTGATAACAGAAGATGCTGTATTTTAACAGCTCTATCTGAGAAAGAAAACGCGGTTAAAGGGTTCTGCAGACCCCCGCCCCCCCCCCCGCCCATATTTGTTAGGCACAGAAACCTACAGAAGTGGGAGCTGAGCCCCGGGGCAGGGTGACAACGCGCAGACACGGGGGGAAACGGCCGGGGACCTGAGGATACCGCTTCCACCCAGCAGCCACAGGCGCTCAGGTTTTTTTTGGGTCCTTCTTCCTATCCCAGGCGTTGAAATGAAGCCCGCGGGCTGGGTGGTAAGCGTGAGCTGCTGTGGTGTGGAGGAGGGAGCCGGCCGCGGGTCGCTAACAAAGGGAGCTTCCCCCCCCCCCACACACACACACACGCACGCACGCCGTTACCACACGCGTGGGCGGGAGGGAGGGAGGGAGGGAGCACACCGCAGCCCCGCCGGAGCGGGGCAGCCCGCGAAGCCCTGGAAGCCGCGTCCCCCCACAACCCGCCGCCGCCCCGCCGCCTCACCTCCCCGCTGCCGGAGCCCGGCCGGGCCCGCGCCCCGATCCGCGCCGCTCGCCGCGCCGGCGGGACGAGAAGTGAAGGAGCCCGGGGACTGGGAGGCGGCGGGGGGGGGAGGCCCGGCTCCCTGCCCGCCTCCTCCGGCCGCGGCACGCCTGGCCCGGCCCCCGGCGGCCCGCCAGCCCCCTCCCCGCCCGGGCCCCGGTCTAGGCCCCGCCGCCGGGGCCTCTTCCCGCGCCGGCGCTGAGGGCGAGCCCCGGGCTCGAGTCGGGGGCGTCGCGGCCCGGCGCGGCCCCTCCTCCGGCTGCGGCCCGCGGGGGAAACCAGCGCGGAAAGCGGCGCTTGGCTGAATTTATCGTTTTCGTTTCTGAGGGATTCGGGCGGTGGCTCGCTTCTGGCTCACAGAGCGCCTTCCTCCTTGCAAACCCATTAATACACATATACGTATTAGCGCCCATTTACCCGCTGCGGGTCCTTCTCCGCTTGCCCAGCACTGCAGTGGAGGGGGAAGAAGCCCGCTCCCACATGTCTTTTTGATTTGTAATCATCACCTGGGCGGGTGGGAGGGAGGTGTTCCTGGGGTTGGAACTAGATGAGCTCTACGGTTCTTCTAACCCAGACAGCTCTGCGATAACCTGGGTGATTCGCAGAGGAAATCCTAGACCAGAAAAGCACTTATCTCTGAGGATCCAGCTTTGGGAAAAAAAAAAAAAAAAAAAATAAAAATGCAGTGCATAGCAGATATACAGAAATCCACATCTTCTCTTTGCCAGTTGTACTCTGCATTAAGGTGTGAAGCCAGTTGAGAAACATCTCCGTGGCTTGGTAAATCCACCAGCTCTCTTACTTCAACCAAAACTTCTCACAAAACCCCACTGAGCTACCAGACTTGCCAGAAGCACAAGTTTTCAGTTAATCCCAGTCTTCAGGGTAGCCAGGCTTCCCAAACTGTGCAACTAACCCTCTGGGGCGCAGCTGATGGAGCCCAGCCCAGCGTGACACTGGCAGGGTCCCGGGCAGGGAACGGGCAGCACAGCTGCTGGGACAGGGTGAATCTCACTTCAGTTTTGCAGCACAGGGTATGCAGGCTTGTTTTGCTTTGTTGGGGGCCTCCTGAATGGAAAACTTCCCAATTCTTTACCTCTCTAAAATCGCGGATTTTCAGTCTTGAACTTCCCTAGGCACTTGCTGGGTAAGGCTCATCAGTAACTTGCTGACTGGGTCATACCTTGTCACATTTTGTGTATCCTCCTTCTCACTGCTTTCTGCCCTGTGATGCCAAGTGACAAGACCTGGAGGAGCTGCTGCTGAGAGTCATGGTCTGGAATGCTCCCCTTTGCTTCCCATCCTGGTTCCCATGCTCCAGGCTCCTAGGGACACAGCTGGCAAACACAGCTCTGGTTTTGGGGGGAATCAGCTGGAGATTCCTGCCTGATGCTTCTTTTGCACCGAGAAAGCCAGACAAACATTAGTAATAAGCCAGGATTTTCCTCCCCCACCCAAACTCATTGCTGAACTTGTGGCTGTAATTTTCCCTGCAAATTTACAGTTTTAGCGCACTGCAGCTGTGGTTCCACAAGTGTTTGGGATCTCCTTCTCCGTGCTGGTCCATGGTTGCCTGCTTTCCAGGCATACAGAGATCAGCTGTGTCTCTAACCGTGCTTCTTGGCTGTCTCCCAGAAACTGCTTTTATTGCTGTTCTTCTGGGCTCGCTGCTTAGTCAACATGCTTTACAGGCAGCATGAGACGTGTTTTCTAGCAGGCTCAGAAAAACAACCTGCTGCTGCCATGAAGGATGGGGCACATCTCCCTCCCACAGTGTCCTGCAGGCACGCTCCAGTCCCCCGTCAGCCAGCTAAATGTCAGTAACAGGTCCCATCTGAGGAGGCCGCAGCAACCTAATCCCTCCCTCTTGGGTCAGATATAACCAGATGAGCTAAATTGGATGCTGCAATAATAACGTATGGCTATCAGCTCTCTAAATGGCATTTAAAGTCAGTAAACAACTTCCAGGATTGGATTTCAGAAGTTTTGCAAAGTAAGTGGTATTCAGGCCACCAATGCTGGAAGCAGTTTTTATCCCAGACACGTTGGGAGACGTGGTGGTGCTCTTAAAAGGAAATAAGATCTAGAGGGACAGCGGGAATTAGAAAACACCATAGAAGCTCAGGCTTAGAATCCATGGGAATACCTCAGCTGAGCAGAAAGAACAGAAAATGAAAGGGAAAAACCCCCAGAAATGGATTTGTTGTTTTTTGAGAGTATGGTTTTGTGGGGTTTTTTGGAGGGAGACTGTGAGGAAAAAATAATAATTGGGCTAGGAAAAAAAAAAAAAAAAAGTATTTAAATGCAAATTTTGGTGAAAAATTTCATCATGATCCGGCACACACAAGTTCTGGATGTGAATACCTACCCTATATACGTGTACCAACATGGCACTAAATGTTGTTGTTTCATCCGTCTCCAACCAATCTTCAAAACATCATCATAAATTTGTTAGAGCTGGGAAAATATCCTATCCTCCCACCTCTCAAGGTTGTTGTCTACCCAGATGTGGCTGTGTTGTCAGTAGCAATTTATGATAATTTTTGATTGATTCTAAACAAAGCAATGTATGAGTGTAAAATGTGCCTACATCCAGTTTCCAAGCGAACATATTCTGCTCCTCAGCACTTCTGGGTTTCATAAACTATTCCCAACCCACAAAATCTTAAAAGGGGTAGAAAAGGAGAGTGCTGTACCACTCTTCTCATAAAAGGGAAATCCAAGAATGTGTGAAAGCTTCTTTAAGGATCACATTTCCCTAGCAATCTCCCTTTCCAGGCAAGGTTCTCCACCGGTTCACAGTGCAGCTACCACCAAAAGAGGGATGGGCTGTTCTTTCCTCCCTTGATTAGGCTTCCTTTCAACCACAGCTGTCTTTTTATCTTAGTTCCTTTTCATCTGTGTTTTTCTTTTAGTTACTGGTTGGTAAAGATTGGTGTTCATAAGTTTGGATAATGAAAGATTTTTACAAGGTTAAGCAAAAAAATGAGATGCCTTAAAGTATCACAAAATTCATCCCTCTTGAGTCTGTTTTTTATTTGATGTCTAGATGAAAATATTACCTCCTAAGTCTCCGTGTGTGTGGCTTGGTCCCTGGGACACCTGCCAAGACAAGAATTTTAGATGCCCAAAATCATGTGCTCAGCAGGTGTAAATTGTGTTCAGGGAGAGTTCACCTTTTGTCCTTAACCCCAGAGGCAGTTTCTCTTCATTAGCAAGGAGAAAAAGATTACCATCATTTCCTGACTGCATGCCAAAGTTATGTATCATAAGAAGAAAATCTGTTCATACGTTCACAAATATGTTTTCTCCTAATATGTCTTCAGGAAAATGTCTTTGCGAGGAGCAAGGGGTAGTAATAATCGTGAAAGAGTTGAAATGAAGTGACAGAAACAGAAGCAGAATTTCTCTACTGAGATTTTTTCAAGCAGGGTCCATGGTAGGTCCTCCCATTGGAAAATAAAAGTACTTAGTCATGTCTGTGATTAAACATTTAAAAGTGTTCCCATCTCTGGCTGCTGGTATCAGGTGTCATTCGGAAATACAACTGTATTGCTTCATATCAGATACTCAGTTTACCAACTGAACCAGGCTGTATTGCCAGTGTTTAAACGTTTTCCCCCAACACTGCAACAGATAGAAACATCTGATCTCTGTGTGTGTGTGTGGCTGAAAAGAGAAAGTGGCTCATTTTTCTATTAAAAATGAAGTAATACCTTACCATCATAATTATGCCTTACTGTTTGCTATTATATAAAGATACCACATCAGGGCTAAGTCACAGAAACAAATGCAAAAATTGCATTTTCAAAAGAATAAGGTCACAGGTCATATTATTTGTTGCAGAACAAACCCAATAATTAATTGGCCTCTCCCTGCAATGGCAGCACAGGCAGCTTAACTGCGGGAGAGCCAAGCAATGGAAAGAAGTGATGTGGAGTGTCTGTATTTTTTTGGGCCAAACAGCTGAGCTAGGTCTGATAGAGAACATGAATTTCATTGGTTGAGAGGGAGAAAAGAAAGACAATATATTTTAGAAAGCAAGACTATCTAAGTGTATTTATTTTCTGTTGTTTAAAGATTTTTGTTGTGGCAGGAAATATGAAAAAAATCTTCTGAATTTATTTTCTTTTTCTGTGTGCCAGGGAGAGAGAGATTATATTCAGAAAATGAAATGAAAAAGGCTTTTTGGAATTTGTGCTATATTATTTTTTTCTCTCAGGCAATGAAAGACCAAAATCAGCCCCAGTGAATATACACGTCTGTTTTTTATCCAGATATTTCCTCCATTCGATTGATTAGGGAAAAATCCTAGAAAACCTGTTCAAAGGCATATGCAATCCCTTTGAAAGCCCGAGCCTAATATTCTAGTACATAATGAAGAAGCACAAGCTTGGAGTTCTTGTCTTCCAGTGTCCGTTTCGCTGGCATTGCTTGCCTGGTGGCTTTCATTTGTGACCACTGAAGAGTATCTGGGGCAAACATTTCTGGGGTCTCCACAGGCTTATGAGGAGCTTATGTAGAATGCTAGCAACGTAGTCAACAGTTGTATTGGGAAAAGTTATTTTAAATAACCACATCTATAATTGTCAATTTGGGTTCCGTGACCTTTTGTAATCCAGAACCGTTCAGTTGAAAACAAAGGGATATAGGAAAATCCGTAAGTTTCCACTTTGCTGATACCTGAAGCACATCAAAATTACTGGATGGAAATGACTTCCCTCGGTGGCCAAAGCCTGTGGGTCGGATATCCCGCCCCGGCTTCCTCTTAGCGCTGTTTTTGACCATGCCAGCCATCCTGTAGCTTCCCTAGAATTTAAGATTATACCTTTTCATCTACAGAAATATTTTTCCCTGCAGATTTAAATAATTAATTGGGACGTGCCTAGTGGGTCTTGAGATAAACTTAAAAGAGGCAGCAGATACGTGTGACCAAGTGACCTTTTGCTGTCCTGCTCGTCCCTGCGCTCTCACTGTGCTCAGAGGGACGCTGTCAAAATTGCTAGGCCTTAAAACTTTAACCTGCACTGACAAGTTGTTCTACATTATAAATCTTACCTAAAAGATTACCACGATTGTTTTGTTTG